TTTTTTTTTTTTTACCTCCCCAATGACGGTCGACGGTGAATCTTTGAGAGCAGCCAGAGCTCAGTTTGACGAAGCTCAAAAAACTCCGCGGGGAAGTTCCCTAGGAAATCCCCTAAGACACTTCGGGGGTATTATACTCGACACGGATGAGCCAAAGCTCCGACACAATTTACCTCGGCGCATTTCTAAAGACATACGGCCGGAGCAGAGGCATCAAATGCTGGATTATTAAGAAAAACCAAAAAACCCAAACAGACTGATCCTTGTGTCAAATCTATACGATGTCTGCAATGGATAACGACAGTATAAACACGGATAACAACATGCTGAAGGACAAGATCCGGAGTTACAGCACGCTGAATTCTCTGTATCATGAGACGCGACAGGAAATCGACCTTCTGAACAAACAGATCTATGTAAAGGACAATATCATCGCAGATTTAAAGGTGAGGCTGGGGAGATACGAGAGAGTCTACCTGACGGTGGGAGATAATGAGTCTGTGGTCGTCGGGCCGTCCAAGTCTTTGCTGGAGAGTCTGTGCAAAGAAATATGCAAACTGAAACAGAAGAGGAACGATGTGGAGTTCAAAGCTTCTCGACAGACAGAGGTAAAGGAAACCAACAAAATATGTCTTCAAAATGCTGAGAATGGTGTTGTTCCAGATGCACATTGGGTGTTTTGTGGACAGTTGAGGCTAATGGAGAAAAGTTAGTAAGGTTACAGTGATACAGGTACATGTTGGCAAGAACTAATGAGCTTTAAAAACCCTTAAATCCATGTTTGACTATTTAACTTTTATTATGTGTAACCCTGCTGGAGATTATTGAGCTGTAGGTTATTGTGATGTTCCATGTTTTCACTTTAAATTCTTTACTGAACATCCTAATAGATACAATTTTGGAAAAACCATAATGTTAATTGCCTATAATTAGAATAACAATACTAATTTTCCCTTTTTTATTCCATATAAAATCCACCATAACATAAAACACTACAAACTCATGTGGTCATGCAATCCTCTCCCCCCCTGCCTTCCTCCCAGGAGATCCAGAGGCTGACGGTGCAGCTCAGAGAGAAGGAGCTGGAGCTGGAGACCGTCAGGTGTCAGCCGGACCACGAGAAGGACCAGGAGATCCAGAGGCTGCGGTCCGCCCTGGAGGAGAGGGAGCGGGCCGAGGCCACCAGAGCCGTACTTTGCACATCCCTGGCGGAGGAGGCCGACCAGCTGCGCAGCCAGCTGGGAGCGACGGTGAAAGTGTGCCAGGAGCTGCTGGCCAGGCTGGAGAGGGAGAAGAAGGGGGGAGAAGACCTGGAGGTTGTGGTTCATCAGCAAAAGTCTAAGGAGGTGTGTGACGCTTGGGTTGTTGGATGTTTTTTTTTTTTTATATATACATTGGAGTGACTGGTGTCTTATTTACTTGTGCACTGGACCATTTTTTTTGTGAGGGGCCCTATTGTAACTTCTCTTCCACCATTTTCTACAGACGACAGAGTCCTCTGACATGATTAGCGTGAACACCCAAATCCGTAAACTTCAGGAGGAGAATCAACAGCTGAAGCAGCGAGTGACATATGTAAGTCCTCACCAAGAACAAGTTTACAAGTTATTACTAATATTTATACAAGATATTGAGATGTTGTTGAGAAACGTTCAATACTAATGTGCTTACGTGCAACAACATCTGAATGTAATACAGAACATGGCTCGAGATCAGAAGGTGTAACCTTTTGTTTGCTCCTTTGTTTAGGTACAGGGTCTGAATTCTCAGTGGCAGAAGTATGACTCCAGCAGGGAGGACTATATCAGAGGTTTATGTCAGAGGCTAAAGGAGACCACCGGGCAGGGCTTGATGCCTGGGTTGGGCTCTGTAAGCACCGGGTTGCTTCATCATGAGATTTCCAGGCTCAACAGCTTACTGGAGGAGAAGATGAGCGAGTGTGAGCATCTGGGAAGAGAAGTGGAGGAGATAAGGAGGCAAGACCGAGAGCGCATCCAGACTCTTGAGCAGCAGGTCAGTGCTACATCGTGGTCTCATGAGAGCGTACAGCAATTGTGGTGTCTGTTCATGATTTTGTTTAAGGGAACAAGACTAAAGGTTCTTTATTTT